ATGTTTCCACGCCGGGGCAGGCACGTGCGGAGTTTCCCTGTGCCGGCGGGGGTGGGAGTCGGGCCTGGAGGACACATGCGCTGGCTTCCCTCCGGGGAGGGGTGGGGGAGAATCCTGGGAGGAGGCAGATGCAGGGGACTCTCTGCCTCCACTAGTACCCTCTCCCCAGTTCCCTCTCCCCAGCCACAGAACTCTGTCCCCACTCCCCTGTCCCCAACTACAGAACTTTGTCCCAATTCCTGTCCCCACTTCCAGAACTCTGTTCCCACTCCCTTGTCCCGAGCCACAGAACTCTGTCCCCACTGGCACCCTGTCCCCTGTTGCAGAACCCTGTCCTCTGCCTTCCCAGCACCCTGTTCTCTCTCCCCTGCCCCCAGCGGCAGAACTCTGTCCCCATTGGCACCCTGTCCCCTGCCAAAGCACCCACTAGCACCCTTCCCCAGTACTATGTCCCCTGTTCCCACCAACACATTTGGGGCCACGTTAGTGGAGCGTTGGAGGAGGGTTTTTTTTTTAATTTCACTTGTGTGGCCCCAACTGATTTTTCTTGGGTCAGTGACCCCTGACTCAAAATAGGTTCCCTGACCTTCTCAGAAATAAAAACAATGCAGAAACTTTTTGTTTGACATAGTATTTTATTTAAAAATGAAGCCTGGCCAACAAGCCCCAAATTGGGGCCAAGTCCCCATCTGGGCACAGCATCCTAACACTCCTGCACTCCCCTTTCCCCCAGGCCCTACATCTGAGCCTATCATACACTGGAACCCCCTTCCCTGAGATCTTGGCTTGTTCTGTCATTTAAAAAGTGATCTTGGGTGTAAAAAGGTTGGAGACCACTGCCCTAGAGCATGAATCACTGCACTGCAGGGAAACCCGATTTACCAGACAGCCCTTGGGCTGGGCTGTACTGTACCCATGCTGCTCCTACGCCTAATAGCATCTGGACTGTCTCCACAGTTACCAGCCATGGGCACCATATTAAGCAGCATATACACACAGACAGGTACAAGCAGCAGAACCACTAATTTGAGGTTTTGGGTGTAAAAAGGTTGGAGACTACTAGCCTAAACAGTAATCACAAATGGACTACATACGTAATTCATGTTGCTATGAAAGTCTTCTCACTTCTGTGCTGACTCCTGTATGTTTAAAAAACCTTTTATACCTCCAGCTGGGTTACTGGCCTCATTGCCCCTAGCTTCAGCTGGGCACTGACTCCTGCTCCAGCCTGGATACCAAAGACCCCAGCCTGATCTGCTGCTGGTCATTGGGCCTCCTGCCTGTAGGTTCTTGGGGCTTTCTGTTGCAGGAACATCTGTGGTCCTGCCGGACCAGACATTGTAGATTTTTGGGAGGTGGAACCTATATAAAACTTTCACTTAAGACACAAAGATATGCTTAACAATTAAATGTCTCCAGTGGTCTCATTGATGTTGATAGGGTTGTGTGTGTGTGTAGTGTATGGGAAAGATGTGTTCATACCTCTGTTTTTGCTGAAAATCTCTGCAAGGCTGGGTTAGTAAGGCATTAGCATATCAGGGATGGGGGAGGAGGCAGCAGCAAAAGACACAATTTGCACCTTATAGAGAAAAGTGATTTGTGTTTGGCCTCCTTTTTGCAGTACTTTCAGTTTTCCCACAGTCAGGCATGCCATCTGGAAAACCGTTAGTGTTAAAGATGGTAAAGCTGTTTTAAAATAAAAAAGCCTATTTAGTGTAGTCAGCAATGAACTTCCGAATTCCTGTTCCTGGATGCTATTCACCATGATAGAATTCCCCTAGCTCATCGATTCTCAAACGGAGGGACAGGAGGATCCCAGAGTAGGTCACAACCATGTTTTAATGGGGTTGCCAGGGCTAGCATTAGCCTTGCCAGGGCCGAAAACTGAGGTCTTCAGTCCTGGGTGGGTAGGCTCAGGTCACAGGCACCCCTGCCAGGGCTGAAGCTCTTGGGCATCAGCTTTGGCCAGATGACCCACTTGGGGCAGTACGGCTTAGGCTGTGTGCCCCCATCTCCCTCTCTTGGTGAGCTCAGGCTTCAGAACTTCCTGGTGGCATCTTGTAGTAATTTTTGTTATCAAAAGGGGTCATAGTGCAGTGAAGTCTGAAAACTACTCTCCTAGCTCTGCGGGTGGAGAACAAAATTTATGGTGTAGAAAATTAGTCAGATCCTTCACTGCTGGTAGCATCCCACCTACTGCTGAATATAAGTCCTTCTTTCTTCTTCCTTGGACTGCTCTTCAACTTCAACAGGAGACTGCCTCATTGGCTATGGCTCCAAGTTTATCATCTGTGTTAGCTGAATTGGCTTGGTGGTAGTCGAGGAAATTCTATCATGCATCAACAAAATTGTAGGGGCAACTTACAATATACTGTACTGCATATATCTTTGATCTTTTTTCCCATATTTCTTACCTATTTTTTTATTTGTATTACAGCCTTGGTACCAGACAGTGTAAAGAAAGAACTCTTACAAAGAATAAGAACCTTTCTTGCCCAACATGCCAGTCTTTAAAATTGACATTAATTCTTAGTACAATATTTTTGTTTCAATCTTATGTAAGTCATACAGAAATTGGAATACATTTTTCATGTTTTAAAGTTCATTTTTTTTGTATTAGTTAATGTTTCATTGCACAGCATTAATTTCTTAAGCTTGCTGTTTTAATAAAAAATTGTGGATATATATGTTTTGAAGGCTCTTATCTTCTGTTATATTGAGTGCTTTTTAAGTAGTGACTTATTAATTTACAAGCATATTTTACTACTTTGCACGAGGTCAGTACATTGAATCCATACTTTTTTTTAATATATCAACTTGGCAAGTACAAACACAGCAACTCTTCCAAAAATTGTCTAAATATAAAAAATGCAGATATGAAAAAATTAAATACTTGGAGACTAGAACACAGGGTTCTATAAGGTTGCTAGTTGTCCATTATTGGACTGGACAGTCCGGTATTTGGGCTTTTTTTTCCTTGACAAATCTGTAATCACATTTTTTCTGGTACTTTTTTAAACCATCTGGCAACCATAGTGTTCTATTGTATAAATCCTGTTCAGTTTAGTATGATCAGTAGTTGGATAGCACCAAGGAAAGTAAGAACTCTGTGCAAAATTATGTTGGTGACATTCTTCCCACAAAGTAATTTAACCACCATCCCCTTATGGTACTAGAAAGTTATAAAAGGCACTTTCTTCTGAGGTTTTCAGGTAAATAATTTATAGGATTTCTGAATAATGGTTGAACATGTCTCCACATTCTAATCCCACCAAAAGATGCATTAACTTCTTTAATTAAAAAGAAACGCTGCAAGTGCTGCATAACAACTGCAGTGTTCCACCCTTATATCATTCCCGTGGTGTATGAATTCCAATGTATGAATTCCAAGTATACTTTGATATCCTGTGTGTGTGGGTGGGTGGATAGAGAGTGCATCTATTTGTCTGCAAGTCCGTTTGTTCAAGAAGTCCTCCAAGAAGTGACCTAGGGCCACCAAATTTGGTATGCAGCTTCCGCTTCTAACTTAAAGCAAGGGAGTAGTTTGGTTGTGCCAAGAGAACCAGAAGCCCTGGGAAAAGGACTGTGTTCCATAACACGCTGCTTTCAGAGGGATGTGATCTGAGTGTCCACTGGTGGCAGCGAGCCCGTAGAGGCAAGGTATCCTGCAGTGTCCACTGGGGGGGGGCAGCAATACTACCAAGGGAGTGGCCAGCAGGGCTAAGGCTTCGCCATCTTGCCTGCCAGCACACTGAGTAAGTAGACTTCCTGCCCTAAACCCTTTTTCCTTCTGGACAAAGCTTGTTTGGTGGGGCAAATTAAGCACCTGTGAATGACAAAAGCTTTGTTGCTCAATTGCCAGTGTAGACAAAGCCATAATACATTTTTAAATGGATAGTGATTGACAGATTATATTTGGGATACTTAGATTAAAAAAGATGTTCCACTTTTTTCAAAAGATAATTAAAAAGATACTTAATTTATCATTGGCAGTGAGCGAATATCGTCGTCAATAAAAGTGTCATCTGGTGTTCAGGGGGCAAGGTGTGTGTGTGGTGGGTTTTTTTTGCTCAACCAAAAACTCTTGGTGTTCCTCATTTAAAAAAAATTGTTTGCTGTTCCTCGGTCTTAAAAAGTTTAAGAAACACTGGTCTAGTAGCACCTTAAAGACCAACACAACACCTACCACTTCCCCAAAAGCTTGTCCTGTTCACTCCATCTGCTCTCTCTCCCTCACATACTTTCAGTGGGCTAGAGCAGGGGGCTGGTTCTAAGAGTGGGTTCAGAGTTAGGGCAAGGAGTTGGGGTGCAGGAGGGGGTGTTTCTGCTAGCTTTGGGAGAGAGCTCAAAGCTAGGGTTTGGGGTGCAGGAGGTGGTATAGAGTGCTGTCTATGGGAAAGGCCTTGGGGTTGGCATGTGTCCTCCCACTGGGTGGCACTAACTACTGGTAGCTAAGAGTTGGGAGCACAGCAAGGCAAAGGCGGGTTCCTAGCCTGCTCTGGCACTGTGTTGCTCCTGAAAGGGGGAAGTGTGCCCCTCTAGCCCCAGGGGTAGAAGGTGAGGGACACACGTCTTCTGTGTGCAGCCTCTTTCTGCTGGCACTACTTCCTCAACTCCCATTGGTCACAGTTTCCCTTTCCTGGCCAATAGGAGCTGCAAGGAGCGGTGCTTACAGGAAGTAGCAATATGTTGAGACTCCTGTTCCCCAGCCCATCTTCTCCCACATGTGCAGGGCCATGGGGCCACATTGGCTACTTCCAGGAATGGGCCAGAGGTGAGGGGCTGTAGCAGGCATGGGGCCCTGCCAATGGACTGGAAGTCTACCCAGGATTGACTGACTGACTTGCCCCTTCTGCTTGGCCCCACCCCTTCCCTGCCCCCTGGGAGGTAGGGCAGCATGCTATGTGCATGATCCCCTTTTCCAACCATGGGGTGGGCTGGGGTGGGAGTGGGCACACACTTTCTACCTCCTTCCTACCCCCAGTGGAAGCTCCCCAGCCTCTCAAGCACTGAAGAAGGGAGGAGGCAGCCTAGCCTCTCCAAAATGCCAGGGGAGGAGGGCCCCCAGCCTCTCAAGCACTGAAGAAGGGAGGAGGCTGCCTAGCCTCTCCAGAGTGCCAGGGGAGGAGGGCGCACCACATAGCCAGGCCTGGCCTCCCCAGCTCCAGAGCACCGGGAGTGTGGTGCTGGGGGCAGCATCACTAAGCACCCAGAACACCTATAGCAGGCATTCTGGGGGCAGTGTGAGAGCAGGGCTATGCTTGACTGTTTGGGAAGGCACAGCCTTCCCCCACCTTACACACCTGACACCCATGAACATTTGTATCTATGAATTTGTTTGAATGTGTCTTGTTTAAACATACAGCTATTGATTCTTGTTAGCCTAGCAGAGAAAGACATGGAGCCCCTTAGTACCTAGTATTTTCTTCATTTGAAGGTACTTATACATGCTAATTAAATCACCCCTTAATCTCTGGGGTAAACTAGATAGGCAGAGCTCTTTAAACCTCTCATGTAAAACATGTTCTGTGGCCTTCAAAGAATTTTTGTGGCTCTTCTCTGCAAGTTTTCAACATCTTTAAAAGTGTAGACAATATCTATCTCACCAATGCTATACATAGGTAAAATCACTTTGCTACCCTTATACGCTACTCCTCTGTTTATACATTTGTGATTAGCAGCCATATAGGTGGCAGTCCTGCCTAGGAGTCTCAGCTCAAGAATGGTAGTCCCCCTTAGTAGCCTCAAGTAGGGAAGGGCAGGGAAATCCAGGCCCTCCCACTTCACCAGATTCTGACCAGAACTGGCCTTACCATGAGGCCAACTGAGGTGGCCGCCTCAGGTGCCAGACTGGGGGTGGGGTGGGGAGAGCGCCATTAGGAACCAGAGTGTAGAAAATTGTCTCTTGCTGGTGCATATGTATTCTTTCTGCTCTAGATGCACAGAGATGGTGGAGTGCCATAAGAGGAGTAGAACAGGAAGAAGGCAGAATTGAGATGTTTCAAAGTTTTGGCCTAAGGGAGAAACAGGAAGAAGGCAGAATTGAGATGTTTCAAAGTTTTGGCCTAAGCGAGCCCCCCACCTCAGGTGCCAAAACGTTGTGGGCTGGCCCTGGTTCTGTCTCAAGTTGCTTTGTGACCAGTTTGGCTGCTCACCCCTCTACCTATGGCATCAGCCCTCAGTCAGCATCCCTGGATTTCTTCTTTCCTCTCTTTACCTCATCTGGTTGCACTCATCTCAAGGGGACGTCTCCATCTGAGGTTCCAGTCCTCATCCCAATCTCTGGGTGTTGTAGCTTCCTCAGTCATTGGCTCAATGCAGAATCTGTTCTGGTCTTCCCCTAGAACTCCCAGAGCATGTGTTCCTCCCTGGCTTGCCAGCTCCAAATTGAGCTGCCACTCTGGCTCTTAAACCTTACCTCCAACCTGAGCATGCTTAGCAAGGGAATAGGGGTGGGGCTTGTCAGGGCTGGATTAACTCTTCTGGGGGCTGGGGCTATTAGATTGTCAGGCCTGCTGTGCTCTAGGGTGGGCCCTAAAATGAGGCATTCAGAATGTGATAGAGGGCTGCAGGCTAGGTAGAGGGCTCTGGAGCATGGGAGGGACTCAGGGCAGGTGGTTGAGGTTTGGAGGTGCAGGGTCTGTGCAGGAGAGAGTGTGGGAGGGTGCCCTGAGCTGTAGGCTTGCCAGGTGTCCGGTTTTTAACCGGATAGTCCAGTATTTGAACTTTCTGTTTGGGAAACAAATTGAGAATATATAAATGTCTGGTATTTTCTTAATAAGATGTTATGTAGATTGTGATGTGTTGAAACCATCTGGCAACCCTAGTGAGTTGGGGCAGGTGGTTGGGATGCAGGGCGTGGGATGCTTACTTGGGGCAGCCAGGATTGCCAGATGGTCTCCCAAAACATACCAAACACACGGGCTAAAAATTTGTAGAGCAAGCTGGGAACAAAGGGGGAGGCAGCAGAGCCTGCTCTGCAAAACAGCCGCCTCCTACCCAAAGCAGAGAGAGGCAGAACCAGGGGCAACACAGTGGCGGGGGGAGGAGCAGGGGCCACCATGGGTAGGAAGGTGAACATAGCCAGGTCTTTGGGTGTCCCAGTGGGAAGAAGCAGAAATTCCACCCCAGTCAGTTTTGGCTGATATCCCATGGAAGGTGCCTAAACACAACTACAAAGCACCTGCGGGCTTCTCTCCTGGACTACGGTGCCACAACACGCTTGAACAGCACTCAGCTGCTCCCCCCCCCCCCATCCCCTCCCCCCTTCCCCTGCCAGGCTTCCATCCGGTGCCCAGCCGGAAAAACAGAAAATACCGGACATTGCACATGTCCGGTATTTTCTGAATTTTTTTTACCGGACAGAGGGCGCAAAAACCAGACTGTCTGGTAGAATACCAGACACCTGGCAACTCTAGGAGCAGCTCCCCTTTGTTGGCACAGGCCCTGCAGTCTGCACGCTACAGCTCCCTGAAGATCCCATTAGCTGCAATTCCCAGACAATGGGAACCGCAGGGGTGGAGTCTGCAGGCAAGGGGCAGTGCAGGGACAAAACTTCCCTCAGCCCATGAGATGAAGTTCCAACCCAGCCAGGGGGGATGGCAACATGCAGGGCAAGGCCATATAACACACAGCGGGCTTCAGTGCCTGTGGGCTAGTGGGAGCCCATAAAAAGATCTGCACTTTTGGTGGCACAGAGATTTTTTTCAGGGCTCCGCTTAGCCTTTTTCTTAATCTGGCCTTGGGGCCTGCTTAGCCCAGAACTGTTCCTTGATCATCTTCAACCCAGTGAGAGGTTTATACAGCCTCTCGCAACATCTGAGGAGATTGTTCATCATTTTTGTCAGGGCATTGCTCTGGGATTTCATGTTTAAGTCCACTGTCACCCCTAAATTCTTTTCAGAGTGACTGCTTTCCGGAATAGGGTCCTCCATCCTATAGACACAGTCTCCATTTCTTGTGCCTAGGTATGTAATTAGACCTTTGGCTATATTAAAACTCACTGTGCTGAATGGACCTAGGTTAGCATGCAATTCAGACTGCTTTGTATGATAGTCCTGTTATTTTTAAAAGCCACTCAAAGTTTTTCATTGACAAATAGCATTCCAAGTACTGGTCACTGTGGAACCCTCCATGAAACCTCCCAATATTCAGTAATATTTCCCATGCTGAGCTACTCTGAGATCTGGCAGTTAGCCAGTTCTTAATCCATTTAATGTGTGCTTTATAGAAAATATAACACTGTTTGTATGGGAAGTACTAATGTATACTTTAAATACGCAAATACAAGATAGACTATATAAACCTATGTGGTGAGTAACAGAGCTCCAAGCAGAAATTTGGATTAACCTACCGTAAAATCTCGAATATAATGTGCACCTGCCTTTTAAATGTCAGAATTCTTGAATAAATTAAAGTCTTACCTTTAATGCACATCCCCATTATACTCGAGATTTTACGATATGCATAGGAAGGAAGGGGCTCGCGCCTGCCTCAGGGGTCCCTGGGTGCAGCCTGAAGGAGCACCAGACACGCAGCAAGCTAGGGTGCTGCAGCCTGACGGTGCCGCCGCCGGGAGCCTGGCGGGGCTGCGGCCCCTGCGCCATGCTGCAGGAATTCTTTCTGCTCTAGATGCACAGAGATGGTGGAGTGCCATAAGAGGAGTAGAACAGGAAGAAGGCAGAATTGAGATGTTTCAAAGTTTTGGCCTAAGCGAGCCCCCCACCTCAGGTGCCAAAACGTTGTGGGCTGGCCCTGGTTCTGTCTCAAGTTGCTTTGTGACCAGTTTGGCTGCTCACCCCTCTACCTATGGCATCAGCCCTCAGTCAGCATCCCTGGATTTCTTCTTTCCTCTTTAAAACTTTAACTTTAAAAAAATAGCTCTTATGTATAATGCGCACCCCGGCTTTGATGCTAAAAAAAACGGGAAGGGGGAAGTGCGCATTATACTTGCGATTTTACGGTATCCATTTTATTGCCACACTCAAGTACAAATTATTTATGAGGAAAGGAATTAAATCAACTTTCAGGTCTATGACTTTGTGTCCAGGGAGGTTAACGTTTTCTTCCACTGGTTTTTCTATGTTACTATTCTTCTGTCTGTTTTGTGTCCATGTATTCTGTTCTGTAGAGATAGTCGTTTGTCCAGTGTACATGGCAGAGGGGCATTGCTGGCACATATCACATTAATAGACATAATAGTGGACTCTGAATCTTCTCTCTTGCTGAACTGTTTTAAACCCTACATCCAGCAAGGGATATTTATATGATTTGCAGAAACAGATGGGATGGAATTGGATCGTTAACACTGAGACAGCTTTAGGCTGTGATGCTGGAAAAGCTGAAACCCGGTTAAAGGCATCCACTGCAGAAATGTAAGGTTCTGCGGAGTGCAATTTTTAGTGACTTCATATTTATTCCGAACTATTGCTGGGAGAGGAGTAGCAGGCAGCACGGGAACACGCCTGAGGTTTTGTGTAAGTGTGCCTACCAGGCTCGCTCGCTCGCTCTCTTACAGACTAAAGAATCTGACGCGGGGTGTAAACCCTCAAGTTGTTCAAGTCCCAGACGGGGGCAGCTGCATCACCGCAAAGGGGCCGGCCCTGCCAGTTTCCGCAAGCAGCTGCCCCCGGCCCAGTTCCACTAGGGCTGCGCTGCTCTGTGACGGCAGGTTCACGCAGGCAGCTCAGCGACTGGCTGCACCAACCAGACCGGCGCGTCCTGACACTGAGCTCGCCCCACCTCCCGCATCGCCCCGCGCGAGGCGCGTCGCCGGCGGCACGCACGAGCTGTCCTCAAGCGGCGCGCGTCAGGCCCGCGAGCTGCCCAGGCCGTCCAATGCCATCTCCTGCCGCGCCGGGTCCCCGTCTGCAGCTCGCGCCGGTTGGGGGAGACTGGGGAAGGGGCGTGACCGGAAGAGGCGGGACAGTCTCCCAGGTGACAGGGGCCGAGGTGACGGGCACTAGGGGCCATGGCGGCGGCGCAGCAGCGCGCGCCTAGCTTTGAATGAGGGGCGCTCGGAGAGGGAAGCGGCTCTGGGTGCGGCAGCGCGCGGCCCTCTCGGCTCGAGCCGCCCTGCGCCCTCCAGAGCCCCCTTCCCTTCTGGGCAGGTAAGTTATCGCGTTGCGCGCGCAGCTCCCTCCCCCCCTTCCCTCGCTCGCTGCCTCGGGCTCTGCTTCCGGGTCTGGTGGCCTGGGCGCAGGGCTCGCGTGCCCCGTTCAGCCCCGAGGCCTGTCTCTTCCGGCAGGGGGTCCGGGTCCGGGGCCTCTAGCTCCTCCCCTTAACGGCTGCTCGTGGTTGCCTCGGGCAGCTGGGAGTAGCGGTGATTTTGCCATGTGCAGGGATGGGGCTGCAGGGTCGAGACCCCCCCTCCCCCCAGCTGCTCAGCTTCCCTAGTGACGGGGCCTGGCCCGGGGAGCAGCCTGAGGCCAAGCACAGCCCATGGGGGCTAGTTGGTGCGCTTCGATCACGGACCAGAGCAGGGCTCCAGCTGGTGTGACCAGGAGTCTTGTGCGGAGAGACCCAGGGGAGCCTGTGGCTTCCAGGTGTTTTGTTTACCAGCACCGTTTGTTGTTGTTTCTGCCTGTTGTGGTTCGTTTGTGTCTCCTTTCCTGTGCCATCCACAGACGCTGGCTGTGGTTGCATAGCAAACGTTGGCTTGTAAACTATGGTAAGGACGTAGACTTTACACCATAGTTAACAAAGGAGGTAGCAGGGGCCACCCCTCTTGCAGCATTTATGTCAGGCATAATAATCTTTGCAGATCTAGGAAGACAGACATTCTTCCATGTACTGTACATTCATGTCCTTTTTCACAGGTTTCCTTTACAGCCATGTCAACTGGGGAGCTTAATACCTTTGTCAGTTTAAAGGGGGTTTCAATTTTGGAAGGTCAGGATGTGGGTCCAGAGACCTCAAGTGATACAATCTGGCATCTGGGTCAGTTCTTTGATGATATAATTCTGTAGAATCATAGAAATGTGGGGCTGGGACGATCTTGAGAGGTTATTTACTCCAAATGCCCTTGTTGTAGCATAACCAAAGGTAGACCACCATTCCTAATGTGTTTGTCCAAACAATGCACAGACATCTTCAATGGGGAGAATTCCACAATCCCCCTTGAAAGCCTATTCCAATGCTTAACTATATTTATAGTTGGGAAGATTTTCTTAATAGTTAACCCAGGTTTTCCTTGCTGCAGATTATGATAATTCTTGTGCTACTTTTAGTGGACATGGAGCACAATTGATTGCTATCCTTTTTCTAAGAGGCCTTAAGTGGTGCTCAATACCGGACTCTATACTCCATCTAATGTTTCACCAACACTGAACAGAGCTGAATAATTACTTCCCATGTCTTAGTACTGTACTCCTATTAATCCATGTATGGAATATTAACTTCTTTTTGCATCTGCATCAAATTGTTGAAGTTTGTTTAATTTGTCATCCATTATCAGCTCTCTTTTTCTGCTAAGTAGTGGAACTACTTTTTCATTTTTTTCTCTTGTTCCTAATACATTCTTGGCACCTCTTCTTGTTGCCTTTCATGTCCCTGGACAGATATAACTCATTTTGTACCTTTAGCCTTTCTGATTTTGTGCTTACATCTTTGTGCTGTTCTTCTGTAGTTATTTTAAGCAATTTGTCTGTTTCCACTTTTTTAGGGTTCCTTTTTTATTTTTCAGGTCACTAAATAGCTCCAAGTGGAGTCTTATTGGTCTTGTACAGTACTATTCTTCCTTTGCATTGGGATAGTGCACTGTTGTGCCTTCTATAGTGTCTCTTTGAGAAATTTCCAGCTCTCCTGAACTCCTTTTCCCCACAAGACCTTTAGTACTAGTTGTTAAAGTTTGATCATTTTTAAAGACCTCCGTTGCTGCACTTATTCCTTCCTGTCCTTTGTATCATGAAACATATTTCGTGATCACTTTCACCCAAGTTTATTTCCTTGTTAGTCAGACTTAAGTCTAAAATAGTGTCCCCCTGGTTTCTTCCTCCACTGCGTGAAACAAAAATTTGTCCAAGTATATTCCAAGAACATCTTGAAGATTTTGTGTTTTGCTGTAATTTTCAGTGAGATTTCTGAAGTCCCCCATTTCTAAAACAATGGGGTGGTAATTCCTCATTCTTATTTGGAGTTTGAGTAAACTCCCACTATGACACTTTTTCCCCCTTCTGATTTAGAAATGATATGCATTTTCTATCCAAAGAATTTTGTGTGTTTAAAGTCAATACATTCATCCTACCACATTTTTTTAATCTAAGGTTGCTACTGCTATTTGTATATGTTCCAGTGACTTACCACTTTAAAAAAAATTGCCTTCTAGATTGTAAATACTCTTGCACTATATAAGATAACCATTCCTGTCATAATTATATTGACAGTGTTCAACAATCAAAACTAGCAGGCAAAAGGGAAAGTGTGACAGATTAGGACACTTTCATATAGGTAAAACGTTGTTCCTACTTGCTGTGTAATGTTGGGTGGTTCTGTGCTGAATAGTTTTGGTTCAGACTCCTGGCACCAGCAAGCATGCTCACAGCACAGTGTTCTTACCCTGCCTTCTTCCAGCCTGTTTATTCTTTGCTGAGTGAAACTATGTTCATTCAAATCCTAAATCCTCCCTCCTTTCCCTGCTTCAGTGTCCAATCCTTCTCTTCACTGGACCTTCACAGAAGTTATCAAGTTCATTGTCTCCAAAGACACACAATATATCCCGCCATGTTAGTTTGGTTGAAGATCCAAACTTCAGCTTAATACACCATGGCTTTGTAAGAAGAAAAACTGCAGTCTGCGGACCACTAGTAGTCTGTGGTCACCTTCCTGGTGGTCCATAGCTTGAACTTAGCCCACCCTTCATCCCTTCCTCCCCCTGCAGCAGGGAGCCTGTGCTGGCACTCCAGCCTCACCTCCACCTCGCCCTGTGAGGTTAAAGTGCCAGTGCTGACTTCCCTTGGGTGGCAGTGGGGAGGGAAGCTCCAAGTCTCCCCACCAGATCTGACTCTTGGGAAAGAGGCAGAGCCAGAAGTAGCTCCATGTGCTGCCGCTCCCCCTCCCCCTGCTAGGGAAACAGGAGCACATGGATGTGTTGTCTGAAGGCTTTCCCTGCTGCTTCCATTGGCCGCAACTCCAGACAGTGGAAGGCCATGCCTGGACACAATGGTTGGTAGGGGCATGCCCTACTCCTGCACTGCCCCCTGCTGAGACCCCACACTCTCTGCCTGCTCCTGCACCCTTCCCTCTGGCCTGCTGGCCAGACACCCTACCCCTAGCCTGTTCTTGCACCCTCCACCCTGGCTGACACCTTGCCCCTCCATTAGGGATGTAAGGAACTAGTCAGCTACCTGATAAGCATATGCTCTTATCAGGTAGTCAAGCAGTGACTTGACTAGTCGCTCTCCCTCCACCTCCCCCTTTCCTCCTCCCCGCGCCTTGCTGCCTCTATCAGAGTGAGGCAGCAAGGCAGGAGAGCAGGAGCCCATGCTGGGTGGAGTCAGCTTAAAAGCTGGCTTCCCTGGAACCCCTGAAGAGTAAATCTGACCTATTGGAAGCCCTGGACTTCAGTCCTCCCTATCCCTCCCCTTTGCCCTGTGGGGCTGGAGTGCCACAGGAGTGACGCATCTCAGTTGGGAGCCACATCAGTGAGGGTTGTGGGTTTTGGAGGGGTTTTTTGCTTCTCACCTGTGTGGTCCCCAACTGATTTCTCCTGTGGCTGGGGTGTAATTATGAAATTAATGACAAGTTTTCATTAGCAGCTGGTAGTCCCCTGAAATGTTTGCATTGAGTCAGGGCCAAAAAAGTTTGAGAGCAACTGGTCTATAGCTTTATTTATTTATTTATTTATTTATTTTATTTTTTTAAAGGACTCTTTAGAGTTCTGTCAAGTTTCATCATGTGTATGTTCTTAGAATGGCCAAGGCAGTTTCAAAGGCCAGCTGAAGACAAAAACCTGATTGCATTCCATTCCTTAAATAGATTCCCTCCTCCCTACCTCCTCTTCCTCTAAAATGTGTTACATAATGCATTTTACATAAAGTCTTAAATTATTCATAGTCCTTCATAAGCCAATTTTCATAAAGCATTGAAGGGGGCCAAGTGAAATTTGCAATGTGAAGTTATTTCCTTGTTTTCACATGTGTAAAATTTTACACTTAAGTAGAGATGCTGGTTAGGTGACTATCTAAAGCATGATTAATTATGCTGTGATGGGCTGTATCAACTAGGGATGTAAGCAACTTGTTGACTATCCCATAAGCAAAAGCTTATCAGATAATCGACTAGCATTTGCTGGTCAGATAGTCGATTAGTCGCTTACACCTCCTACCCTGAATAGAGGCACATGTGCATAGGTTGAGGCTGCTAGGCTGTAATACCCTGAATAGAGGGACTTGGATATAGTTTGGGGCCATTGGGCCATAATACCCTGAAGAGAGGGACATATGTGTTGACCGAGGCTGCTAGGCCATCATACCCTGTATAGAGGGAGTTGGGTGTAGACTGGGCCTTTTGAGCCATCCTGAAACTCTGTGGCTGTTAGGTCACTCAAGCAAGGGGAATAAGCTTGAGGGGCCTCCAAGGGCCTGCCACCCCTTGACATATGCAAAAGGCATCCAATTTGTACTTGCCTCTAATAGGGACGTAAAAAGTAATTTAAAAATGTAATCACTGAAAATCCTAGCGGTTACATATGGAGCTGCATTGTAAAGCTTAAATAAGCTTAGAGAACTGCCATAACATATTTTGGTTGGTCTTTCAAAAAACCCTGAACATTAACTTAATACAGCTGTGAAACTTTGCAGAAGACAAATGCTGCTTTTGACGACCTTAATTTAAACAAAAGCACAGAAATAGTTTCCTTACCTGGGCAAGTCTTTTATTTTTTCAGTAGTTCATGTTGAACACAGCACTGTAGTGTATTCGCACTTGTGTGTCAGTTGCTGCCTGGTTGCTTACTTTCAGTTCCAAATGCAGAGTATGGTTGAACAGTCTATTGATAACACTCGTATTTGTAACTGAAATTCTGCTGTAGTAGAATAATATCTATGAATTCTAAAGTGCTTGACAAACATTAAGTCTCTGTCAAGGCAGATGTGTCCCATACCTACTTATAACATCTAGCATACTAAACCTACTTGCCCATTAGCTTCCAAAGTTCTGTCTAGAGAGAGCTGGTTGGTCATGTACTTCTGGCTCTGTTGTTTCTAGGTAATAATTCAGAGTAGAAGAAGTGTACTACATCACATGTTTCCTACTACTACTTTGCTATATGGGCAATTGATGTAGTTACCTCAGTGCTATTGTTTCATGAGTAGTGGGGGGAGAGGTGGCCCTAGAGATCATGAATGGATATAGATTCTTATATATCACCTATTAAGATATGCACCACACTGAATAAATTTGAGAATTCCTGTATTAAATATTGTGACGTAGAGTGGGTACCTTGCTAGTTGCTAGGCTTGGGCTGTGGGTGACCCCCACTGGCTGCTGTCTGTACCACGGCCCAGCTGAGTAGCTGATGAGACAGGGAGGTAACCTGTTCTACTGGTTACCTCCCAGGAAGAGGAACAAAGAAAGGTGGAATGCTTCCTCTGGCTGAGGGGCAGGGTGGAAGGGATAGCTAGTTAGTGTCTGTCTGGGATCATGGAGGAGACATCCTAGGGAAGAGGCTGGAATTTAGGGACCCAGTCTCCCCCATCTCAGGGGAGGCTGAGGCATCCTAGGCCTGCCCTGTAACCAGATTACATCTGTGCTGTGCTGTATCCTGGAGAAGAAATAAACTCCCTCCATTCTACTGGCTGGTGGAATCTATTTGTGCCACTACGGGGGTGCAGGAGACGGGGAAACCCCAACGCACCATCACAAATATTGACCAATATAAAATATATGAGAGTCAGTGTCCAGTGAGAGAGATTATTTGTATTACGGCAATACAGCTGAGACTGGGGGCTTCAATGTGCGTAGTGCCAAACATACACATAATAAGGAGACCGTCCCTGTATTAAAAAAAATGTAATCTAAATAGATAAGACAGAGTGGGGAAATAGTATCTCCCATTTTACGGATGAGGAACCCAGGTACAGAGATCAATTGACTTGCCTTGCCCAAGGTTACGCAAGAAAACTAACAAAGATGGAACTATTAAGAGTCCCAGTCTAGTCTAAGTTCAGTATTCTAACCACATGATCAATTCTCTTTACTCCTCTTGCTGGTATGAGGCAATGGTAAAGTACTAGGATTCCTCCTACCATAATGGTGTCCCATGATATTCCTTTGTTTGTGCCATCCCCTTTCTAGTAGGTATCTAATAAACTGGAAGTCTCTACTCTCATTTGAATCCATAGAAAAGTTTCAAAAGGGAAGAATTTCCATTGTTACACTGCAAGAAAATGCATCAAACAGTTAGTCGAAAGGAAATTCTATAAATAATCCTTGGCTTTTAATACCTGCTGTCTTTCCATCTACACAACCTGATTGACAAGCAGACACCCCACCAAGAGCAACAAAGCAAGTGTTTCCCTGTTATGTGGTTCTGCAGACTGACTTTACCTGAACTGGTTCCCTATTCAGGAGCTAGCACTTACAAATCAAATGCAACCCAGGAGTCAGCTTTGTTATAAAAATGTACTACAGTGCATAGTGATACTGAGGGAGTTGTTTGATGTTATCTAATCGGCAGTGTAAAGTCACCATCAGCAATAGCATATTTTAATATTTCTTAACATGTTAGCATTCACTTTCCTGCAATAATAATAGCTTTCAGTAGTTTCTGTTGCTAGAGAACTCTTTTTGTAGGTTTGGCTCATACAGCTACTGAGGGACGGGGATTGGAGTGAAGAATGAATGGACAAAAGAGGAAGAAAAAAAAATTAAGGTCTTCTGTTTTCAGAGATTTAGAATACGATCAGCTTGGTCACAATTACTGTCTTTGTACCATGGAAGAGCTTGCAGCCTCTAAATTTCAAGCAGGAAGCGATGTGAAGGTTGTATACGATCAGGAGTGTCTGAGGGTTGACATGGGGAACCACCTCTCCCCCATGCAATGCGGCCCATGGTATTAGCAAGGCAGGAGGCCCAACATTGACTGTGGGGGTCTGACCCTCATGCATTCACTGGCAGTGATGAAGGAAGCAGAGCAATGCGGTTCCAGTTCACTCTTTCTCAGTTGCATCTCTCTGCTTCCTGACAGGGAGTGTTGGGGGAGTTCCATCCCATCCCCTGAGCAATGTGCCGGGAGAGCAGAATGAGCGGGGCTGCATTGCTCTGCTTCTCCTACCATCGCTAGTCAGTGCGGGGTGGCTGGACCCCTGCTGTGGGCATCAGGCCACACCGTGTTAGTTCCCTGATGCCCAGAAATAATGGCCCCGTCATTGTCTCTCTCGCCCATGGCATAGAGGGAATGTGTCCCCTCCCGTGTGTCATCACTGTATATGGCTATTCAAAAAGCCCCCACTACAGTTCTGAAATGTTAATGTTAGCCTTTTGGGAAGGAAATAGAACAAGCCAGTTGGTCTTTGGCTTGAGTGTGTGCATGAAAAGAGATGGAGGTGCCCATCATCTCACTTGATTGTGGAAAAGAGACATGTTCCAGGCCACCATTGAAGCAAAAGGCCTCCCCCCCCCCCGTTTTCCCTGTAGGCCTTTTGAGCTCGTGTTGGGTCCTATGTACCACCTAGTGTTGTGGTAACCCCTGCTATAGGGAATCAGACAAGCTCAATATAGGAAGTAGAGATAAATCGCATACATGAAGTCTGACGTTCTTCCCTATGCACTACTTCTCCTGTATTGCACCTCACCAGGCTCCCTATCTTTTGTTTGCACTTCATCTTCCCAGGTCTGCCCTTTGCATGGGAGAGGCCTTTCCCCAGGGAAGATTTGTCCACTGCTGAGCCAACATATAAGCCCCAGAAGGCCATGTAAGTTTCAAAAGGCCATGTATTATTTTTTTTAGATTAGATCCGAAATCATACGGTAAGTACCTCCCGTTGTTCATGCAACACTTTAAGAACAATTTGTCGTGTGAATCATGCCATACGTTTGGTAACCAAACATGGATTCCTAAGGGATTCGATGTTTCTGAATGCCTTTGTCTCACTGGGTATCTTTGTTACTGTAGGTTTCAGTCATTGTAAATAGAGTATTCCTTCATTTTAGGTAGTGCTGTCAGTCTAACAGACTTTCGTTGCTTTCAAAGCTTTCATCTAGGGATAGAGGCGACAGTCCTTTATTCTTTTCAATGGTTTGAAGAAAGCCTCACATGCAGTTTCTTTCTTCCTCTTACTGATCAAAAGTTGTTACAGTTAGACTATCTAAATGTTTTAGAAACAATTCATTTAGCTCAAATTTCCTGGCGCCCTCTTGACCACTCACCAGATTGGGTCCTATGTATTTAAACCCCTGGAATTTGAATTGAATCCAGGCATGACCCCTGTTTTTAGGTCCCTGGGAAAAAAACTTTCAAAGTGCAGATGGTCTGTAGGGATGTTAGATAATGTGTAGTTGAATAATCAGGTAACAGCACCAAATATTATCAGTTACATGATTTGTTGATAGTCCCCGGTGGCGGGGAAGTGCGCTCCAGGCTCACTTGCATGTTTAAAAACCAGCTCTCTGTGCAGACTGGCTCCAGCAACAGCAACCCCTGTCCACAGGGGACTTAAGTTCCCTGCACACACAGCTGGCATCCCATGGAGCAGCCTCTGCTGCCCTCCCCCATCTCTGCGCTGCTGCTTCTGATGGAGGCAGCAAGGTGGGGGCAGGTGGCTCCGTGGAGCTGGCAGACATAGAAAGCCAGCTTAAAAACCAGCTCCTTATGGGTATTGGCTCCCACCTACCCATCCCTGTGCTGGTGCCTCTGATGGGGGGGGGGGGGGGGGGCAGCGGCTTCACGTAAGCCAATGTGCATGGGCAGCCACCTTGAAAGTCGGCTTCCCGCGTGTACTGGATCCTGCCTGCCCCCATCGCTCTTCTCGCTGTTGCCTCTGTCGCCTCCCCCCATCCAATTTGCTGCCTCTGATAGGGAGGCAGCAAAGGGGGTGGGGTGTTGCATGTGGTCAATGGGATTAATCGATAAACCCAGGTTAGTCATTTAGTTGACGACAAATTAACACTCCTAATCATCTGTCTACTACTGCTTCCTGAGAGTTGAGACCTCATAGCTCAACTGTTTAGCTGACCTTTCAGACTCTCTTGTAGCTTCAATACACTTCCCCCCAGAAATCCATGTATGTGGGTGTTATAGGCCTATCCATTAACTTTTCAAGGGCTCGTGGTAGGTGTTGAATACATACACACCAGGATTCTAAATCACAATTTCTTTTACTTAGTTGTATGAGAAATATATACATCTGTACAAAAATAGTAAACCACATGCTATTTCCCTGACTTTTGTCACTATTTCTGTACATTCTTTTGGCTGGAGGTCCATCTTCTGGGGCCATCCAGGATCCTTTAAATGCAGCACATGACTCATTATTTCCATTATTCCAACTCTTGTCCCATCTCTCATGCTTGGTCGGCTTGCTTTGATCTTGGTTAGTCCCACAGCTAAATCAAACCTTTCCTGCTACAAAAAGATGCCTGTCTGTTTGCATCTTTCTGTCCCAAGCTACTTGTGTGGCTCCAAGCATAGTTCCCTCTAAGCTGTGTGCCTGCGCAGCCGTGCACAAAAATTTTTAGGCCCGCCACCTTATTTGCAGAGTTGTGCAGCAGTGCTCAACACTCACTTTCCTGCTGGATGATGAGTGGTGGCGGGAGGCACAGGAGACTGTCCCTGTTTGCTGCAGCTGGCAAATAAAGCCAGTGGAACTTTGGACTACTCAGTTTCCCCTTCTAAGTGAGTGCAATGATTTCTATTTATGCAACACAGGTGAGTAGGCAATGGGAAATACAGTACATAGTGCTATATTGGGGACATTTGGAGAAGAGAATAAAAATGATGCACTGGTTGAGGAATTGATTTAGGATGAAAGACTAAATCCCCCGTCTCTTGTGTACATTCAGTAACTTTTGCTTTGCTATTTATGCTGGGTATTTTGCCTTTCAGTTTGAACAATGAAAACAAGCTTCTTGTTTTTCCTGATCAATTTCACTCTTAGGTGTTAATGCACTAAGATGTGATTGTATATTTGGGGATCACAGTACTTTACGGGCTTCAGGGGGTAGCCGAGTTAGTCTGTACAGGATAAACTTAAACAGTAAATGGTCTGGTAGCACTTTATAGACTAACAAAATATGTAGATGGTATCATGAGCTTTTGTGGGCACAGCCCACTTCTTCAGATGACCTGAATATTCCAGTCAGGTCATCTGAAGAAGTGGGCTGTGATAGAGAGAGATGAAGTTGTGTGAGTGGCTGTGCATGGAGGCAGTCAGATGTATGAGACAGTTAACAAACGCATATTAACAAACGCATATCAAGCAATGCGCTGCTCAGGAGAGCAATAGCTGGAGTATGTCTCTTTACTCATAATTACAGCTTCTTTGATATTGACAGCAAAGAAGCCCAATTAGTTTTTTCAGTTGTAGGATTTTGAGTTACATTATCAGGAAACTTGTTATAACTGATACTCCAAACGAACAGATTTGCAATTCCCATTGTTTGACAGTTGCCTTGGCTGTGGAGAACTTGGTGATTATTTTGGGGAGACAGGAGGCTGGAAGACTACAGACAAGAGATGGCAGTTGGAGAGGCTGGGCATTTAGCCTCCTCTAATAGCACAAATAATGTTTTGCCCCTTCCTCCCTTGCATGTCTATGCCCATTTCCAACTTGGTTGATCCTGGTAGGCTTGATTTACTTCCCATTGCAGTCCTTGAAAGTCTTTCCACTGCCTTTCATGGAACATGATTGGACCTAACATTTGTCCTGTATTATCTGGTTTAAAACTCACACAAAGGGCAGCAGGCAGATATGAATTGGAAGTTTATCTCAACACCTTCTCCCATTGGTACTCCTGGCTCCCTGCCAACATCTTCTAAGCTACCTAACTTTAACTCTTTAGTCACTAAATGCTGGGTGTTCAGAAAAGGGCAGCATTCCTCCTATCCGTCACAATCATGCTCGCCAAGGGTCAGATTCTGTTGTTAGAATTCCTGTTCAAGGTCATAGGAACTGTGTGAGCAACCAGTTACATGTTTTGGCTGCAGCTACCTCTAGCAACAATGATAGAACCTAAAATATATTGGCTGTAGAGAGTCATATTACAGTCATTTTTACATGGAGAGAAAACTGAGAAATATGTTCTGATAAGGGGCTTTTTTAAGTTTGCTTGAGTACCCTAGATCCACCTTTTTTCCTGATTTTTATATTTGAAGGACTTGTTATGAGTATTATAACATCAACAAAATGTCATGATGGGATGAGAAATTGTACATACATAATGGCTGTGTCTAGACTGGCAAGTTTTTTCCGCAAAAGCAGTTGCTTTTGCGGGAAAAACTTGCCAGCTGTCTACACTGGCTGCTTGATTTTGCACAAAAGCACTGACATTCTACTGTCCGAAATCAGTGCTTCTTGCGCAGATGCTTTGACATTCTCGTTCGGGCAAAAGCCCTTTTCCGGAAATGCTTTTGCGCAAAAGGGCCAGTGTAGACAGCTGAAAACTGTTTTGTGCAAAAAAGCCCAGATGGAAAAAATGGCAAAGTGCTTTTGCGGAAAAGTGTCCGTGCCAGTCTAGACGCTCTTTTCCGCAAATGCTTTTAACGGAAAAGTTTTTCTGTTAAAAGCATTTGCAGAAAATCATGCTAGTCTAGACGTAGCCAATGTGCATAGTGCATTGACTCCCCTCACTGGAGTATATTCCCTGACTTTAGTGGCATTAGGCTTGATTTACTCATGGGTAAGTGAGAAGCTAATTAGGCCTAAAAGCTATGTAAAGATTTATTTAATTTTTTTACAGGCAAAGTTTCTTGCCATGGCCATCACGCAGTTCCGGCTCTTTAAAATTTGTACTTGCCTAGCAGCAGTGCTGTCCTTCATTAAGAGGCTAATATGCAGGTAAATAACATGGTTTCATGTATTAAACTGTCTAGTCTTCTTTTGTTTAAATAGAAGTTGCTTTTAATCTTTCCCCCTCCTTACTCCTTTGCATAGTTCTTAACTGCAGAATGAAGCCTAGGTGGATGATAGTTAAACTGTACTCAAACCTTTAATCTTTATGTCCATTTGACATTTAAAATTATGTAGTGTTGTGATTTAAGTAATTGTGCTACGTTGTACAACGAAGTGTACACAGTATGGGTTATAACTCGACAGTACTGATTTTTCTCTTGTGCCTATCTAACTTTTTTTAAAGAATGTTTTGAAAGTTGTCTTCTAAAAAAATCTGTAAAATCTGTTTTCTGAATTTCTGGAAGAAAACCCCCACTCTGTAATGACATGGTTTTCAGCTACAACAGGGTATATACTTAACAACTTTCAGTAGGCTTTTTAAATTACAGTATCAAGTTGACAATTGTCACTAGCTTTCCATTGTGACCATTCCAACCTTTATTTTCCAAAGCCAAACCAGTCCTATCTGAAGCTTTTCAAATGACCTTTTGCTCATAAAGTGCTTTTTTAAAGCTTGGGGGTGAATTGTGCAAGACTGTAAGAGATGAGACTAAGAAAAAACCTCAATGTAGTTGAAGAAAATTTTAAAATGTTATTTCTATGTGAAATGCCATATGTGAAAAGTATGGTCTAGAATGATGCTTAAAACTTGGCTTATTCTTGTGTTATCATGACACCTAGGTTTTCTCTGTCCCATTGTGAACAGTTCAGTTCTTGAACAAATGGACTCTGAGACCAACAGACTGACACAGATGCACATTTCTAAAATATATAGTAAGATTAAGATTATTGAACATGAAACCCCTGTTGCTTTCTTCACCGGTTCCTGTGCTTTCACCATTGTGCTGGATTATTTTTCCAATAGACTAAGAAAGCTATATGGGTTTTCCCATATAATAGGTACCCAACTGCTGTGAATGGTAGGGAGCAGCTACTTGTATGAGCTACAGTAAACATTTTAAATTCTTAAAGTCTTGATTCTGCAAAAAGAAACATCTATGTGGAACCCTGAATCTGGCCAGTGTCCCTTTGGCATTGATGAGGGCTCTGCATGAGGACAGGTGTCATTGCCCCCATTCACTTGCCTTGCAGTATTGGGGTCTCATAGTTTTACTATTCAAAAAGGAAAATGGGATGTATTTCCAAGTGTGTCTAGAAGGAAATTTTAAATTAGGCTGCATTGTTGTTGGGTGCCTGCTAAACAGGGAAGCACTGAGCAAGACTTATTTTTCTTTGAAATGCATATTTATTTTCCCAAAATAAAGGTTGTGGAACTGAAGAAGGAAAATTTTTTTTGCGAGTATGTGGTACCTTGTGCATTTCATGGAGTTGCTCTTTGACCTTAACTGTAAAGGCTGAGAGCTCAAAACTTATTCCAAATATGCTAATACTTACATTTAAAAGGATACTGCTGATTTTTTTTTTTTAAAGTCCGCTAACTTAATTCTAAACTTTTCTTGTAGAGGTTTTTTTTAAGGAGGGTGCTTAAAAGAAATTAAACAGGATCTTTCTGCTTTCTTGCTGTGTCCACAAAGGTCGTTTGGGCAGACCAAAGAGCAACAATATTAACCATAGTAGCCCACCCTGAAACAGTCTGTTTGACTGTTCCCTAATATGTCCTCTGCCAAATGATAAATTAATCAGTTCATGGTCATTGTTACGAATGATGGATTCTAAGCTTGTGTCCAGTTTTCCTGTCATGTATTACAGTCAGAGCCTTCAGACTGATACGTGTATTCATTGAGTCCTTCAGTTTCTTTCCCAGTTACTTATATATCTCCTAGTAGGTAAGAATTTCTTAAGGAGCAATGGCCTGAAGCTTTCAGGCTCTATATGGCTGACTTCAGAAACTGATCTCTCAGTTGGAAAAAGGAAGAAAAGACTGTACAGCTCGAAGATGTACTCTGCACCATCCCATGTTGTACTGTCAATGTGAGGGAAATTTGGACCTCTAATTCTTCACTTATGTGCAACAGTAGGGGCTGTAGTGGTAAATATGAAGGTTTCTTTGTATTTCAATTTAGTGCATGATAAGCTTGGATGTGAATCTACAACATGCCAGTTTGGTGTGCACTAAGAAGCCACCTGGATGCTGCTGCCATGCACTAGAACAATGGCTCTCAACCAGGAATCCATGTACCTTTGGGGGTAACTCAAAGGTCTCTCACAGAGTACATCAATTCATCAGGATATCTGCCTAATTTTACAACAAGCAGCATAAAAGTATTAGCAAAATCAGTTCAAACTAAAACTTTATAGACAGTGTTTTGTTTTATACTGCTCTGTATACTATACACTGAAATATAAGTACAATATTTGTATTTCATTTGACATACTTTATAATTATGGTAAAAAATGAGACCGTAAGCAGTTTTTCAGTAATAGTGTGCTGTGATACTTTTGCATTTTTATGTCTGATTTTGTAAGTTTTTAAGTGAGGTGAAACTTGAGGTACATAAGACACATCAGATTCTTGAAAGGGGGACAGCGATCTGGAAAGGTTGAAAACTACTGCATTAAAAGTTTCAGACAACAATGGATCAGAGCACACTGTGGAACTTCTCATGCTTGGCGGTAGGGTCTACCAGACCAGTTAGTGCACTCCAGCTGCTGTGCTGTAGATTGACATCCCAGCTTGTTGTATGCTAAATATATAGACAATCAGAGACGAGTTAAATGACACAGTATTGAAAAAAGCTGGAACTTGATCTAATCTGTAGTTTTCACTGCTGAAACTATAGTTGTGGTAATACTGTAGTATAGACAGGACCTACTGATTGATGATTGTACAGTAAACTTCTGATAATCCGGCACCTTTAGGACCCAGGGGGTGCCGGACTATCAG